GAGCAATAGCGAACTTCAGCAATCAAACAGCATCATACATATGAGTCCAGATAGTCTTGACCTCGAACCAACAGCAGAATTACATCACGAGATTCACCAGATAAGAACACACCAAGAGTTCATAATTGACAATGCTGAAATAGTCCCATCACCATCAAAGAAGAACCAGAGTTGATATCCTATCTGGCACTCGGCGCCCAGACTACATGTGGCAGATCCTATCTAGCCTATACTACGAAGCCGAAACATGACGTCAACAGCATTCCCAAAGTACGAGCATATGGCGACCAATGCCGCACGCTTCCAGCACCAGGTATGTCTCGCGCTACACTCACAACCTCGTTCCCCAACTCACAGATGCCACTAGCACCCAAGGACCACCCTGCGCCTCACCCAGCTTACAGCAGCGCAGCTCGGCTATGGCTGCGTGCTCCTTCCCTGCTCGCCCGTGGAGCGTAGGCGCCAGCCAGCAAATAGCGCAGCATGCAGCCAGCACTGGAATGCCGAATGAGGAGGCAGGCCCTTTCCTATATTGAAGTGACCTGCCTGCGTCCAGTCCCACGAAGCTTCCAGTAGGCCCCGGTAGCTTGAGGCCCAGCAGGACGAGAGCAGGCCTTGGGCCTGGAGTGGTTGCATGTGCCCAACTGCCTTCGGCCTGTGTTTGGCCAGGTACCCGTATCCAGCCCAGGGCCTGCTTCACATACATTTACACAGGCTTAAATGTTAGCAGTAAGCTGTTTGGGCTCACCCCGGTAGCGCTGTGTACAGCGCTGTTGTACAAGCTGGCGATGAGAGCAAGCTTCTCATCCCAATCCACCTGGTTGGGCTTGATGTAATGCCTCAACAGGTGTTGTACAGCGCGGTTCAGTTGCTCAGCCTGACCGTTGGCCTCTGGGTGATTCCCAGAAGTCATCTGCAACTGAGTTCCCTGTTCTGCAGCTGCAGCCTTCCACAGCTCGCTGGTAAACCGGACATCCCTGTCACTAATAATAGACTTCGGTAAACCAAAGTCCCTGACCCAGTTCTCTTTAAACATTCTGATCACATACTCCCTTCTGGTTGTTTCCGGCATTGCCACTAACCTAGCATACTTGCTAAATCTATCCACGATGACGAAGATCTGTCGCATCCCACTCTTGCTGGTGACTAGAGTATCCATGAAGTCCATGGACAAACTCTCGCCAGGCCGTTCCGGAATCGGAAAGGGCTTCAAGAGCCCAACAGGAGCCTGAGTACGGGGCTTGTCTCTTTGACATACCTGACAAGTCTCCACGTACAGCTGGGCGTCTCGCATCATTGTGGGCCACCAGAACCGCTGCAGCAGATTGGCTGCGGTCTTCTTGTACCCAAAATGGCCGGTGGCATCATGACACTCTCCTAAAAACAAACTACACACAATCGTTTATTCCCTTCCTTCTCAAGGAACAGCAAGCCATTGACCAACTCAAACTCGGCAGAAGTCTTCATGTCCTTCGCCTCAAGTCTGCGTATGATCTCAGACATGAACTGGTCCTCGCGATAGGCTTCCACCAAAGACTGAGTAACACTGTCCGTCAGATTGAACTCAGTAATCAGCGCACCTGAGAAATCAGGTCTACGTGACAAGGCATCCGCAACCTTGTTATACTCCCCTTTCAGGTACTGAGGGTCAAAGTCATACAGCTCAATGACTTCGATCCAACGCTTGAGAGCGTCAGAGAGTACAGGCTGGGTTCTCATCCATCTCAGGGTCTGATGATCAGTCCTGAGGATGAAGAATCTCCCAAGGAGATAGTGTCTCCAATGGGTCAGAGCCTTGTAAACCGCATAGAGTTCCTTCTCATAGGTGGACATAGCCAACTTCTGAGACGGCATTTTCTTGGACATGTACTCTATAGGCCTCAACTTTGGCCCCTCCTGCTGCGCGAGCACGGCGCCAATGCCATATTGGCTGGCATCCGTGGTGACTATGAACGGCTTGTCAGGATCAGGAAGTTTCAAGGCGCGTCAGATCAGTCAAAGGAGCGGCCACTATACTATAGTTCTTAACGAAGGTCCTATAGTAGCCTGTCATTCCTAAGAAAGATCCCATCTCAGTCACGGACTGAGGACGTGGCCAATCACGAATGCTGGCCACCTTCGCGTCATCGGGCTTCAACCCTTCCGCGGAGATCTCATGACCCAAGTACAAGACACGGGTGCGGCCAAACTTGCACTTCTCACCGTTGATCTTGAACTTGTGCTGTCGCAGGAGGCTGAGGACTTTGTCCAAATGTGCAACATGCTCCTCGACAGTCTTACTATAAATAAGTATGTCATCGAGGTACATGATGACAAACTTATCCAAGTAGTCATGGAATATCCGATTCATAGCGTGTTGAAAGGTACCAGGAGCATTGCAAAGGCCGAAAGGCATCACCACAAACTCGTACAGACCGTACCTGGTCTGAAAGGCGGTTTTGTGTTGATCCTCGGGCCAGATTGCTGATGGTACTTGGACTTCATATCTATCTTGTTGAAGTACCGGCACCCTTGCACTCTATCTAGCAGATCGTCGATGCGCGGTAGGGGCTCCTTGTTCTTTACAGTGATGGCATTGAGGCCCCTATAGTCAATGCACATCCTAAGTGTACCCTCCTTCTTCTTAGGTACAAATAGTACGGGAGATCCACAAGGAGAGACACTTGGCCAGATCCAACCCTTCTCTACGAGTTCCTTGAGTTGGCGGCGAAGCTCATCAAGCTCGCCTGGAGACATCCGATAGATCCTACCCTTCGGAATACTAGACCCTGGGATAATCTCTATCGCGTGGATGACCTCCCTCTCAACAACCCCTCTTGGCTCTTCAAATAGATCAGGGTACTTAGCGACTACTCCCTCTATCTCCGACGACATTTTCACCGGCTCGCCTGCAGCAGAGACATAAACTAAGTACATACACTCCTCCTGATTTTGCTTATAGTAATTATAGAACGCGGCCGCACACATGCACCCATAGGACTCGATCAGACCACTAGCTTTGAACTTATGTAACCTGGCGGTCCCTCCACCTGGCAAAGTGTGTTTGACCACTTTTCGGTCCCGGTCAAATTGGGGCTGAGCCACAGAGAGGTAGGACCTTCCTAGTAACATATCCATTGGGAGCTCGTCACTCTATACCCCAGTCACCGGTGGGACAAAAGGAGGAGGATGTACCACGGGCCAGGCACCAGGCCCGGACGTTGGCGACGTTACCTGCGCTTGCCCAACCAACAGGGCCAGACTTTGCTGGATGTCCTGAAGGATGGTTGTTTGATGGTCCTGCATCTCCACTACATTCAGCAGGACGGACCGTACGTTCCTCACGTCATCAGTCACGTGCGTCAGGTCCATCTCCTCTAACTCACTAACGTCCGCTTGTCTCCGTTGCATCCTGGCTCTTCTTCTAATCATTCTTTCTTTCACCGCTTTTATATCTCCTAACGCCTTCTGTAGCTGTGCCTCCTGCGATGCTGCTTGTTGTATGGCGATCTCCAAACGATTCGTCCTCTTTCCTGTGATGTCCAGATCATTAATAACCCAACCATCTATCTTACCATCCCTGTCTTACAACTGTCCCTGACTCTCAGTACCTTCCTAAAGAAGGTATATGCTGCCCCCAGCCATAGCTGAAGACATCAACGACAAGCTCTGGGGCCGTGAAGCTGTATATTCCGAAGTTCAAACAAGGGAGAAGGCCTGCAATTACATCAGCAAATTTCAGCAAGCTAACACCTTTGAGCTCAGTAACAGATGGAATGAATAAAAGGCTTTCTCACGGGACTTTCGAAGCTAAGGGGGAATGGATGCGAGGATTTAGTCCCTCAGCAGTGTCTGAAAGTGTCGGGCCCGCCCTAAATGAAGGCGGGCCTGCAAATATGTGCCAATGCTTGTTAATAGGCCTATGAGACCAGGTTGAGGGGCCCCAGCAGAGCCTGTTGTAAACCCCATGTGGGAATGGATAAACCCCATGTGGGCATGGATCTTCGACGAGGCCTTGTGACGAGTTGGCTCCTTGGCATGCCTTGTAGGGCCCTATCAGCAAGCATGAGCCCGCCGCAAGTGAAGGCGGGCCCCCTGAATTTCAATATGGCCTGAGTTCGTCAAATTTGGCAAAGGTTGGTGGGCGCCAGACAGTTGCCATGGTTACATCCTCCATACTCGTGAGAATCAGAAATAATTCCTGAGCCTTCTAGGCTCTTCCAGCAAGCACAGGCGAAGCAGGGAGAACCTCACGTTTACTCCTGGGTGGTTGGAAAGGCTCAACCAATTCGGTCCCAGGCCATTGTCTGAATGGGCCTGGGCGTAGACACTTTGGCCCGATTGGAAGCTACTGGAAATACACGAGGCCCAGCCAGAGAGCAGACTGGGAGAGCACTTTCCATAAAGGAAAGAGCTCGCCACTGGTGGAGGCATTCGGGCACTAGCGCTAGTTGCCAGGCAGTGTGCACGGGCGCTGGAAGAAGGCAGGGCGCTGCCAAGGGCAGCGCCATAATTCCTGAGCCTTCTAGGCTCTTCCAGCAAGCACAGGCGAAGCAGGGAGAACCTCACGTTTACTCCTGGGTGGTTGGGCAGGCTCAACCAATTCGGTCCCAGGCCATTGTCTGAATGGGCCCGGGCGCAGACACTTTGACCCGATTGGAAGCTACTGGAAATACACGAGGCCCAGCCAGGGAGCAGACTGGGCCGCCACTGGTGGAGGCATTCGGGCACTAGCGTTAGTTGCCAGGCAGTGCGCACGGGCGCTGGAAGAAGGCAGGGCGCTGCCGAGGGCAGCGCCATAGCCAGCCCTACATAGCCAGGGCTTGGCTTGGACAGCCAGTGGAGGTGGTGGTGGKCTTCGTGCATGAGGGAGAAGACGTGGGAGGAAGACAAGGACAGGGAGAGGCAGGGAGAGATGAGGATGATGATGTGAGGGCTCATACCTGGTATTGGCGATGGTCTGCATCTTCAAGTACTTCGGTGGCTGCTGACATCAACAGTTGCATTGTCAATTCGTAGGCAGGAAGTAGCTGTGTAGGGAGTAGCCTGGGCGCTGAGCACCAAGTAGGGAGAGAGGGCCTGGATAAGTATGTTGGTGGGGACGAGAGCAAGCTCTCATTGACATTTGGTTTCAGTGTTTCGATTCTCCATTGGTGTAATATTGGTACAATGCTGCTTTCTGGACACTGTGGGACTTTCTTGCTTTCAATGTGATTGTGCTATCTGGATTCTGTCATCTCGCTATTTCTCATTTTTGTTGCACCAACCCCCAAACCCTGCAAAACAATCTTCCTTTCTTTATTTTTGCTCTCAGCACAACCATGTTCCCCCTCAGATCATAACCCTGTAGTCCATCCGTAGGACAACCCTGTTCCCCTGCAGTTCCTTACCCTGTAGTTCATTAGTATGCAAACTCTGTTCCCTCTCAGTTCACAGCAATGTAGCCCATCAGTACGCATACCCCTTAGCTCATCAGTAGGAAAACCCTGTTTCCCCCTGCCCTTGGTATCCACATTATACCCCTCTCCCTTTTTCTTCCTGCTACCTAGTGATCGGCCCCATCCCGTCCTTCGCAGGATTCAGTATTGTTTTCATGACTTTTGGCAGCCGGGACGTTGCCTTCTAGAGGGAGGGGATAGTGTTCCGGACTCCTCAGGGCTCGATCGCTGGTCTGCTGGTTACCACCCACCAGCTTGCTGTATTTGTTTTCTTCTTTCTTTGTTTTGCAATTCTTTTTGTTTTTGATTCTTGCTTTTCTGATTTCGGACAGTTGGCGCCATCTGCATTCTGGCGCACGTTTTCAAATTCCTTCTTTTGGGACTTTCCGATTTCGGACACTTGGTGCCATCAAACATTCTGGCGCCCACTCTCAGACTTTCAATTTTCAGTTCTGGCCCTGAGGCATTTTCACTTTCACCCTGAGGACCGTACTTTAGTCCGCTACTTATGTACGGACTCAAGCCCAGTACGGGCACAAAGTTTTCAGCCTCAGTGCTTGTGTTCAATGCGACTTTGCTTCGACATTGTGTTCGGAAACTCAAGACTGCGACTTTGCGACTTTGCCACTTCGTGTCTGCGTCCATCAAGTCGTGTCGAGTCTGCATCGAGTTGAGTGAGCGTGTGTGTGTGCTCTCACTCTCCCTCTCTCTCCCAGCCTCGCTGCTATGCCTCTGCTTCGTCACATTGGTGGCTATGGCCGCCCTGCTTCCCTATCACTACCCTAGCTATGGTTGACGTTTACGATCCCTTCTACTTCGAGCGCAGTCTCGCCCAAGTCGTTTGATCACACAAGCAGCAGCAGCGCTTCTGCAACTTCACGAATGAACAACCAATAAGCCGCTGCCCTGTAGCAGCTAAATATCTGATGGGTCGTGGCTTGGCCTGCTTCAGTCTGGTACCGGTCAGCCGCGGCCTGTCTACTGCAATCATTTTGTCGGTCCGGAAGCTTCCCAAACTTTCCTGGGACATGCTGCAATTTTCATGGACTTGGGGACTGGACTTGGACTTTCCGGACTCTTCTGTGGGGTAACGGACTGGCTGTACAGTGTACAACGACTCGAATCTTCCAGACTTTTCTGTCGGGTACCGGTGTGACCGCACATCCCCTACTGGCCTACCGGGCCTCTCTACTGAACCCACGGACTTGAGACTTCAAAACTTCCGGAACCTTGGGGATTTGGTGCCGGGCTTTCAGGGGTCTGCAGCGTGAAATCCTTTCACCAACAAGTGCCTACGGCACTCAACACAAATGAAAATGACAGGAAAGGATGGCCTCTGCTTCATTAGTTCTGCCACATCATTTCAGGTTTCTTCACATCCTCTAGCATACCACTACGCCTTTCAGTGGTTTCTCAGGTGTGCAAGGCATACCGTTAGCAACTGCCAGCTTAACTCAACTCACCATTCTGTATGCAAAGATGCAATCCTCTGCGCCTATGCTACCTGCAGAAACAATCATGAAAGAGCTTTAAAAAATTGATCAATATAACTATGACAATCAAGTATACAATTCTTCAGGGAAATTCATTCACTCAATCTATTCTTGAATGAAGAGACATGAATGCAGACTACAATGGTGTCAATTACTCGATTTATCAGAGGTGTGCAAGGAAAATGAGCGTAGTGCATGACAGAAATCCAAATTGCATCATCACATTGCAAACCAGACAGTTGTGTGCTGAACAGAAAGGAGACTGCACCAAATACACACCAAATAAGAGCAAAGCAATGAACTCAATTGTCAGCCCCAATCTCGCGACCATCAACAATGTATTCAATGTCACTCTTCTCATATGGCGCTCAGCGCCCAGACTCCGATCTCACAGCACCGCCAAGACTACGATCTCGCAGCAGCAAATGGATCCGCACAGCTGAGTCTAAGCCCTCCTCCGTGCAAGAACCGATTCCAACCGGCAACCTCGGCCTCACGAGCCAGGTATCTTAACCACTACAGGCAGGACACGGTGTTCAAAAGGCCTCACGAACCATACCTGTCGTGATATCCAACCCAACCCTGCAACACTGTAGTGTCCAACTCAACACACACCACACACCACACACAACATCACACACAACACACAACACACACATGGCAGTTCTCTTGCACCTCGCTCTTCCACAATCAGCACGTAACCCTTACTGCAGGTAATCCTCCCGTCCACCCTACGGACTACATCCGCTCTCCTGCCAGTTAATGGATGCTTCCACTGCGGCACATGGATCCACACATCTTAGCCTAAGCCCTCCTCCGTGCAAGCACAGATTTGAACCGGCGACCTCAGCCTCAAGAGCCAGGTATCTTAACCACTACAGCCAGAACACAGTGTTCAAAAGGAGAACCATACCGATCGTGATATCCACCCCATCCCTGCAGGGCTGTAGTGTCCAACTCAACACACCACACACAACACCACACACACACACGGCAGTTCTCACACGCCTCACTCCATAGGGAGTTCTATAGGGAGTGAGGAGCAGGGGAGGGAGAAGAGGTGAGGGAGAAAGTGGAGTGGCGAAGGACAGAACAGAGTTACAATGAATTCACAGGGTTTCTATATACTCACCACTGGAGGCACAAGTGACCAGTCAGTGTTTGGGTTGCAGAAGATTTGGAGTTGAGGAGCAGCCGTTGCCTACGGTAAGTGACCACCCCTACAGACTGGACAGGACCGGTTCGGGTGTGGACACCGCATTCAATTCTCACAGTTACAGTTGCTGCATAGAATGGCACAGGCTATGTGGCTCCTACATGCAAGCAACACACAGGCACGCGCACTGCAATTGAGGAGGCATTGTCATTCCAGCCAGTCTACAACTTGGACATGACATGTCAGGGTGCCCTACATAAGTGCAGCATTGACTCTCATCATACGTATGAAGACAAAAACTCTCATGGGCTATCCCTTCATAATCCTCACACGACACGGCATGCCAACCACATGCTAGCTGAATCTCAGGTGGGTCATCACAGAGTGGCATTGAGCAGGGCTCTTGGGTTTCCCTAGTGTTTATTCCATCTCTATGGGCATGTGACGAGACTGATCCAAAGCAATGGTGTTAAGCTGCTGCAGGACTTGGTCTGCATCAGCTCGCCCTGGTGGTGGTAAACTTTCAGTACAGCGCTGTGTAGGCGGTTCACATGGTAGTCTACTTAGCTCCTCAGGCAGCTGTGTCTGTCGTTTGTCTGTCAAGGAAGAAGGAAATCCGTCTGCGGTCGGTGCATGCCCAACACTGCATGTGGGACATGCTAGGAGAGGATGTGGTGGATGATGCCATCGGGGATAGTCCACACAGAAAGACATACTTTCTATCAGAGCTTCCTGGTAACACTGATGATACATGGCATGTTGCTGACATGTACTGACATGTGACGTTCGCAGCTACTTGAGCATGGCAGATCTATGCCACAACGGCATGCTGGGCAAGTAATCAGGGTGGGGAGGGGGGGGACGGCGGATGAGTACAAGACAAAGGGTATGCGGCAGAGGCTGGCATTCACCATCCCTTCTTAGTGTTCGGAGCAGAGGCTGTGCTGTGTGCATGCTAATGGAACTGTACCTAAGTGACAACAAAATGGGAGCGCACAGACACCATCCTCTGGAGAGGTCCCTTCACTGTCCATGGTAGAATCTGTCCAACCTACATAGGGAGGGGATGCTGCCTGACCTGACCATGTACAGGGGAAGGAGGAGGCTCAGCCAGATTGCTCTCCGGAGGCTGTAGTGATTGCGAGTTCACAGCCACATACTGTTCCTGATGGACGATGCATGCGTGTCTTTCAAAGATCCCCAAATTCTCTCCTCCTTCCAACCACAAATCATCACAAACCATCCACAAAAAAAGGTACAGCTAGGCAATATAGAAAAAGATGCAAGGCTGCCTACTTTTGTGTGGTTAAACAAGTGCCCACACAACCGTTGGCTGCCAGAGTGGCACGCTTCCACAAACATATTATCTCTATCTTCCCTAAAAGCAAACCCGGGCCCAGCGTAATGCAGTGGTCTGGCCCAAGGAAAACCCGGCCGAGGACAGTACCGGTGTCGGCGCGAATACCCTTACAAGAGTATCCGCCCTGGGTTTTTGCAAGTGGCAGAAGGGCTGTTGGTTCAGACTTTTTGAGTATTCACGCATGGTCAGGAAGGTTGCCTGCGTATGGGCCAGAGTTGTCTGAGTAGATAGAGTGAGTGGGCGCGCAGTTTTAAGGGGCGCGTGTGATTTTACCCTTTTAATCGTAAATGCCGGCATAGATGTCCGCTTTGATCTTGCATTGTTGATTAGACTAAGGATTGATAGGTTCGCCCTCGTTTGCCGTGCCTGACCGGCGGCAGGTTTGGTATGTGGGACGGCCATGACACAGTTGAGGGGCCCGGCATGGATACCTAGCGGCCGCACGCCTGGTTGTAGGTGGCTTTTCCCTCAGCATTAAGCACTGGACCGCACCACCTTATACGGGATTCAGCGCCTGTTGGTTCCAGGCTTGGCATTGGGTTGCTGCTATGGAAGTTCGGGGATCGAGGCCAGCAAGCGGCGGAGCGGGAGCGGCGGAGCGGGATGGAGAAAAGCATGGCTACGATCCGGACGTCCGGACCGCCGTCCAGACGGTCCGAATTCAGTCCGGACTCCAGACGTTCGGTCTGGAAGGTCCGGATCTGCCAAATTTCGAGAGGGGGAAAAAAAAAAAACGGTGCAGGACCCTTCCCCATTGAGGAGACAAGCCCCCAAAATTGTTTTGGGGGTTTTTCAGGCCCGTTTATGCTTTTTTGAGGGGTCCGGACATACTCTCTCTATATAATAATTTATTAGACAACCCCAATTCTTTAATTATTAATAATTTATTACCTTTTATTAGTTTTTGAAGGTTGTTTTAACTTTTTTTAAGCTTTTTTATCGTTTTCGACTTCTAACTCAAGTTTAGTTTGGAATTCTGACATGACTCCGAGGCAAAAGTGGTTTGCATTGCTATTCTGCATAACATACTTTTTTTTCAGATTTTTTTATTTTTATTTTTTTTAACGGTCCGGGTATTTTCCGGACCTGTCCAGGCATCCGGACCGTCCGGATCCCCTCGTGTCCGGAGGTCCGGAAATGTCCGGAATTCCGGACGTCCGGAAACTACCGGACACGGGTCCAGTTCCATGTCCGGAAACGTCCGGGTCCGGGTCCGGCGTAGCCATGGAGAAAAGTCGAGGGGTTGAGGGCCCGCTGGGGCTATCCCCCTCAGCTTTTGCTGATAGAAGCGACGACGGGTTCGACCTACGGGACTGACCAGGTGCCGACAGCCCTTGTTCCCCTGAAGATCCGTCGCTGTGGAATTTTTTTTTTTTTTTTTTTTYTTTTTCTTTTGCTCCATCCCTTTCGGGGCCTGGCATATGGGCCGCGGTCAGGTCAGGCGAGGGGACGGTGTACGACGGTTCTCCGCCTGTAGTGGGACTGCGGAGCACTGCCCCGGGGTAGGTCCTTCGGGACATCCGTAGAAATTTGGAACGTTACAGAGGGGACCGGCAGTGCCGCAGTACATGGAGGAGGCAGCACGTATAAAGCGGGGGAAGTTTTCTTCGTTTTTTTTGTTTTTCGCTGTTCTCGCTGCGTCGGATCTCTCGCAGGCGTACGGCGTGCGCCGGTGCGCTATCGAGTGAGATGCGCTCCTGGGATGAAATATGACGCCAGTTGACGACAACAGGCGGGCCGAAAGGGCGATGAGGACGTCAAGGAGATGGCAGGGAGGAGCGAGTGTTCAAAATCTCGGTCGTTTCACAATGGTTTAAGGCGAATCGAGGGGTGAACCTGGACGTAGGCCTTGCCAGGTTCAACTGAAGGAAGGGGGAGATGGCGACTACGAGCTAGGACGCGGAGGGTATCGAAGCGGCTGAGAAACAGGCAGAGAAAGGTAGTTGGGCGACGGCGCTAAGGCAGGGAACGTAGCGCAGACAAAAAGGGGACGAACCCAGGCAGGGGAAAGCGCAGAATGCATGCAGGGTGCAAGCGGGCTATGGTGCAAGCGAGAGTAGGCAGGAGGAAACGGGAAAACGGTCGTATCTCGCCCGATTCTCGACGGACCCGGGCGGGGTAAAGTGCTGGTCTGAAGTTTAGGGGCCGGGCGAGTTAGAGGATGAGTTTAGACTTGCCTATAGTTTAGTAGATCGGGAGTTAGAATGAGATAGCAGTGCGCGGAGTCGCAGCGATGGTGGGGCTGGGAAGGAGCAATCACAAAGCTCTGCCGATCCTCGACGAAATCGCCCAAGAAAAGGAGTGATCTGGAGGTTTTGAAGAGGGGCGATCCAGAATCTGGCCTTAGTTTGGTGTAAGAGTCAATAGATAGGGGGTTAGTAATAGAGTAGACTGTGTGAAGCTATCGGGGGAAATGGCCATGGCCAAGCGGGAACGAGGGGGGTTGAGATTAGCATGGCTCACTCGTCCCTCAAATGAAAACGAGCGAATGAGGA